CACTGTTTGATGAGATTGACGTGTAAAAAAAAAGCAGGCTGCGCCGTTCCTGTTGAACTTATTGTATTTCTTTCTGCTAATTCTATCTCCACATTGAACGTAAGAAAAGCGGGAACATCAGAAGTATGAGTCAAATTTCTAGTTCTTGTTTTAAATATAAATTGGTCGACGATATGAAATATTCCTAATTGAGCATTAGACTTGCATGAGACATTGACATGCTCGATATGAAATTGAATGTTATTATGAAGAATTCCTCAAGAATATCGAGAATGGCAACCTAGAAAACAATCATTTTCTCTTTCGAATTCTATCGATCAATCACCAACGTCAAACTGTGAGTAAATGACTACTTTTATTTGAATACAGAATGAAGCCTACATCCAATGTCAATGTAACAAGAAAAGAAGGAAAAGATCTATTATTTTCTGACAAAATCAAATCATTTGCTCAAGAACTTATCAAGGGTGAAATACAACGCTTTCGTTTGATTCAAGCACATAGCCAATATAATCTAATCGAAGTAACCTAATAGAATTTTATGTGGAGTAAATTGTTTTCCTAGAAGACGTTGACCTACGTCATAGATGTTTCTTCTATATGTCACGTTTCTGTTTTCTAACTTTATTCAACGTTTGTCAGAGATTTTCGTCGTATGAATGAAGTAAAGCTGAAGAAAAAAGGCTAGTAATCTAGATGAAATCATCTTCTTCCTTTCTTGCAAGCACGTCTTTTACTCGTCAGATGTTTCGATAAAAAAATCCAAATGTTTTCAAACATGCACGTCGATTTTCAATAAATTATCAAAAGAAAAACAAGTTAACTCGATAAGAAAACATGTCAACGAGGGATGCAAGAGATAGATTTCATTGAAGAATACGTCAAATTATCTAATGAAAGTATTTCAAGAACTTGCCTGTTGCCGTATGATTCAGCAGGTAAAGAATCCATATGAATTGAATGATTGAAGCAAACTTCCGATGCGGTAGACACAATAGCAAATGAAAACAAAAACACAGGATCGTTTTCTTTTCCTGTCTCTGTTATTGTCTTATATCAAATTGGATAACTGTTTTAGCTTTCTCGTGCGTAGAGTATCTGTCATCAAATGATTTGCATCTAGACAATCAAGAAAAGTAGACGTCGTGCGATAATTTCCTGCGTTGAAATGTCTGAGATAAATGTATTTGAGATCGACAGATGTACGCAGAGAGAGAGAGAACGAAATATACATATAAAGATATATATAAAGCATAAAAAAGACTTGAAGAAACGACTCATCAACAGTCAATGATCGTCATCAGATAAGAAAAATTCATTTGGTTACTTCTCTGCCATTAACTCGCTGTTGATGTTGTTTTAATTCATTAGTTTTCTAAACATGTATTTCGAATTAAACATAACTAGGATATTACCCATTAATAATAATCCTTCTCTCATTTCCACAATCCAAAATACAAAAAAAAAGAGCACCGAACTCTGATCAAACACGATTGAGGGCATATCCATTTTCATAAGCGAAGGAGAAAACAACTTGATAAATCTTTCAAACAAATCATAGACATCAAGATCTGTCTATTGTCAATCGCGTCTCTAATAATATAAGTCAGTTTCATTGGACACATTAATATACATGCGAGATTTTGATTGCTTTCTCTTCGTCACCGGCTTCTATTCAATCATCATGTTTTCAGTCTACATACATATGATCAATCAAGCGAAACTCCACGTGTTACTGTACATACACAAATCGAATATAACGATTCAGAACTTTTACTCGTCAAGCACCGAGAAAATATCTGAAAACTAAACTCTTATCAGCAAACTATGTTTTGTCTTACGTGTATAGATTTTCCTACTTCTTTCTAGTAATAGATCAAAGCAATTGGAACATAAAGCTATTTCTTTGAATAAATGAAGATCGTTCCGACGTTTTTCTATGTCTAGATTGATTGATATTACCAAATGCCGTCAACTAGTACTCAAAATTCAACAGCTGATGCTCCGACTTATGCATCGAATGATCCTAATAAATTACGAAATACCAAATGCGTTCCTGGTCCTGGTTTTATCAAAACACTGTTTGGTCTATTAAATTTAATCATAATTGTCAGTAGAAAACTTTCTCGTAAACAACCCATTCCGATGAAAAATCGTTTTAGATTTCATGCATTTGTATATTGATTACTGCTGGTGTCGCAAGCAAAGCTGACTGCGAACTAGCAGATTTGCTCTCTTTTCAGTCACCTGTTCAAGTATCCGCTGTTCATACACGAAATGCAATTATTGTCTTTACAGTCTTCGGACTGCTTCTTATCCTCATCGATTCTATTCTTTATATAACTAAACTAATTTTTCGTTTATCAACTAAATTCGATTTTGCTGTAAGTGATCAAACACAACAAAGAAAAATCCTCATTTTTTATCGTTAAATAGTTCAGCATCGTAATGATTATCTTTGGTGGAATATATTTTATTCTTGCGTACGTAACGAACGAATACGAAGAGCAAATTTATATTGAAATAGTTTTCTAAATAGATGTTGTGCAGCAGCATGGGAGAAGAAATTAGAAGATACCGTAGGTGTAGTTTCAACAGTAAAAAATAAAGGTGCGCCTGCAGCAGCTTCGGTAAGTCTTATATTTGATACTAAGTCAAATCAAACTTTCTGCTTTTAGTTCTTTCTTTTCGTCACTACAGGTTTTGTTCTAACGAATTACATTCTACGTCTAGTGCGTCCAGAAATTTCTCACGAAGAGTGATAAAGCATGTTTTATTAACACATGTCATGTTGAAATAAAATTAGAAAAAAAAAACATAAATTCAAAGAACATTTTTATTTTAATAATATATGCGAGACAGAACGTCAGTCTCCTTTGATAACTATTATTCGTCAACGTTTTTCTTCTTTTCCGTGTGAAAAGCGTAAGGAAATTATTTGAAATTACTGGACTGGATACAAAATTAGAGTAACTTATCTAAGGGTGAGCAAGTAAAGGCAAGGCAAGCATCTTACGTAGCCGACGATATACCAAAATAGATCTATTTTTATTTGAAGTGACTCTGCAACTATAAATTCTCGCTCGAATCAGTCTGTATAAGGAATGAAGATAATCTCGAGAATCGAGAATTTGTACTCATCTGTCATAATCGATCATATTGGACATGAAGCATAAGAATAGACAGAACTGAAGGAAACAAATCGAAAAAGTTTTTACATGCGAACATTAATGCCAACACGCGATCTACTCAAAGGCTTGCTCTGCTTTCCATGGACACAAATGTCTAATCTAATTTACGATAACATTTAGAACATCAATGGTAATGTATATGTATGTCTAGTCTCGCAAGAAATTGTCTAAGTAATGGGAAAAACGGAAGAATTCCATCGAAATAAGAGCCAACTATAAAGAATAATTAGGAATACTAGAGAACTTGAGAAGAACATCTTCAGATGTATTTCTGTGAGATGGCTTGCTGAGAACGTACAGGAAACTGAAATGAGCCGTCTGACGTCAGAATAAAGCGACGGATAAACATTCATTTCTTGTTAGTTGAAGTTAATCTGATATGCTCAACAAAGATTTAATTCAATTACGCCAAATCTACATACTTAATGAAACGATCGAACAAGAATAAGATGAAGTTTTTATCAGATATTTTCATTTAGCTTTGAATTTTCGAATGTAGGTAAAAGAAGTTTTCATTCGAAGAGAATGACGACTTTTCTTTTTCTTCAAACACTTTCGTTGACAGCAAGGTGATAAAGTAAATTAAATCTAACTTACAATCTCATTGTGCGACTTTGAGCGGCGATAAATGAAGAAAACATCGGTAAACGACTGAAAAGACGAGATTTAACATATTGTGTTGCTTCAACTGAATGGTTTCGTGTTACGGATGTAAAAACAGCAAGATTTCTCATGAATAGAGTTTATTCTTCTAATCATTCTCGATTACTCGGGCGCAAGTAGTTCTCCTATACGTCGGCTGCTGACGAAACGAGTATGATATAATACTCTTCTCTGTCACTAAACAGCTCTAATAGCAACAACTCATTTCCGATTTCAAAAGCTCGATTTCCTGCGAGTTTTTTTTAACATCGCATTTGCTTTCCATCTGAGTGAAAAACAAAAGGGAAAGGTATTGTAATCAGCAAAGGTACCTGAACTTGTGAACTTGTCTTTCAATGAACTCGTGTAATTGTTGCACTCAGATTTTGTATTTATATCCCATACATTGAAGAAAACTTGTTATGGAAGAGATGGGCGACTGTAAAAAGTATCACACTCGTACTTGACGAGATCAATACAGTACGATCAGCTTGTTTTTCTTTTCGTCTCTTGAGGATTCCTATCCAATTATCGTATTTCATTTTCGTTCATCGAACATAACGATCGGCATCTTTGTTGTCTAGAAAGATAATTTTAATCTTGACCTTGAAAGTGCAAGCAGTTGACATAGATATGTCCTGAGTAATCAAGAGTAGGATTATTGAATATTCTAAATTAGTAATATTGAAAGTTCTTGACCTGAAGTTAATGATATCAGAGTTCTTACTTTGAAACTCACCGATGCATTTACTTGTTTATTGAAAAAAATTAAATAAACTTCCTCAATTACAATCTTTAATCCTATTCTGATCTATACAATGGAATCACGAATGACTATCGTAACCTTGTATATCTGAACTTCAAACTCTCATTACGTCAAGTTAAGTACAGAGCACACGCCTCGAAGGCTTTCTACATGAGCTACGAGAGAGTAAAACGCACACAAGCGTCCTTAAACTCTTACTCGTCTATATTACAACAACGAGTAATTCACGCTTTCATGCCATGTTCGTTTGATATTTTCTGAAAGAAATCAATTTCACTCGTCGCACCTTCTCATAAGTAGAATTCATCGAATTGTAATGCTGTTATTACACGATGAAAAGATATTCAATCTACTTTAGAGTAAGAAGGATGTGTGAAATAGAGCGGTAATCAAGCATGAAAATGGGTGAAGATGTATCTCATCAAACGCTAATCATTCATAATACAACAACTAACGCTATCTATCCAGTAAGGACTGACACGTCCACATGAATCTAAACGGTTAAGTGTGGAAGTTTTTTCACATTTGTTTGTATTTCATACTCAAATATCAATATTGTACTTGATCGTATTACTTCGAAAGTAAAATACATAGAGAATTGATAAGTAAACAAACGCTTTTATTAGCTCTATGTAAAGAATGAGAGAAATTTTCTTTGTAGATGTTTTTTAAACTAAAATCGAATCTCTTTTTTCTTTTTCTTCTCATCCTTTCCATTATTCGTTCACATGTCGCATTCGACATTGAATTAACCATTTTAATTCAGGCGAATCAACGCGAATGTTTCCATCAAGTTCTCGACGCTGGTCGAACTATTGAAATCGAATACGAAGTCGTCGTTGGTGGCGATTACGATATTAACTTTTGGTTTTATTCGCCAACCAACCGTGTCTTACAATCCGATTTCAAGAAACGCGATGGACATCAAACGTTGAAATTAGAAGAAACAGGCGAATATCGCTTTTGTTTCGATAATTCCTTCTCACGATTCAGCCATAAACAAGTCTATTTCAGTTTAAGACCTGTCAATGAACAGGGACAAAGTGTCGTTGAACATGTCACTGAATCATGGATGAAAACCATGGAAGTTGATCAACTTGGCGAATTACAAGCGAAAGTTCAAGATATTCGAGTAAGAGTCCAGATTCTTAAAATTCCATTCTCGAATAGTTCGTTTAAAGACACATTCGATTGTTTTATCCTCTTGTAGTTATAACATACCAAGCGAGAGTACATTTGTCAAAAATCTCCCATTTCGTTATGTAGATACGCTCGTTCGAAAGATTTTATGAAACGTGATCTATTCACTAGTGAAGCTTTACACTTGGCAATCAATTTTAATAGAATAATCTCACACGTGTTGAATTGATTATCAGGGATTAACATTCAATTGTTGAACTTCAGCATGTTACCCAATGAGAACGTTTGATCAAAAAATAAATAAATCATAAGATTCTTCTATTTTAGGATACGTTTCAACGCATTTACGATCATATGGAAACGGCTCAACATTATCAGAGTAGTTTTCGCAATTACGAAGTTCACGATCGTCTGATTTTAGAAAATAATTTTCAGCGAATCAATTTTTGGTCAATTATTAATTTAACTCTAATGATAACTGTTACCATTGTTCAAGTGATAACTATTCGTAGTTTATTTGAAAGTAAATCAGCATATGGCAAACTTTTACGTGGAAAGAAATAACAACAAGTGGCATTTGAAAAACACATTCTCATATATATTTTTTTTCTTTCTTTCATTGTATCAGTTTCCGTCTTTTCTTTGTTATTTATTATTGTTTAGAAGAACGATATATAAAAAAGAACAAAATCTCTCGACAGCTAAAATCAAATTCTCTCAGCGACTGATTAACAATGAAAGAAGGTGATGATGCTTCAAAATTTTCTCTTTCTCTCTATTTTATGAGAGGTTATTAAGACTATGTATCGATATGTTGTTATTTTTATTTCATGATTATACCGTTCGTTGTTCTCTATTCAAATCATGTCTGTACACATCTATGTGTGTAGAAAGAAATGAATGATGCATTTATTCGTTTTGCAGCTTGAAAAACAGCGCATACATTCAACATGCCAATATAAAACAAGATGCATGTTAATNGTATTTCATACTCAAATATCAATATTGTACTTGATCACATTACTTCGAAAGCTAAATACATAGAGAATTGATAAGTAAATAAACGCTTTTATTACCGCCTATTGAAAGAATGAAAGCAATTTTCTTTGTAGATGTTTTTTAAACTAAAATCGAATCTCTTCTTTCTCTTTCTTCTCATCCTTTCAATTATTCGTTCATATGTCGCACATGAACGATAGAGACATTTTACATTGTTGTGTGTTGTTCTCTTTTTTTTTCCAATGTTGTTCGATCGGTCTCTCGGTTGTAACTGGGTAGAGGAGGACGAGGAGGAGGAGAAGAAGAGAAAAAACGAAAGAAAAGAAGGAGGTGCCAATATCAACATAGACGATTGAACATATTTGTATTGTAATCGTTCACGAGAGACATTCATTTTGCTCGTCAATAGCTTGTCTTATAGACAAAAATAAAATACTTTCACTTTATTTTATATTACTAAATTCTTCTTCGTCTTATCTTTTCGCCTTCCCCCCTCCAACGGTTTAATTTTTCATGGGAGAAAAATATAAATCTCGATAAATTGTCATTTTTTTTTTCGTTATTTCATAGAATAGACAGCGAAAGTAAGTGAATAACAAATCAAATAGTATTCATCGAGGACGAGAACGAGAGAGAGAGAGAGAAAAAACTAAGCATAAGAACAGATCCCTGGCCGTAGTCATCGTCGTCGTTGTTGATGATCAGTGTTGTAGAGTGAAGCAGAGCACCCGTTCTTATTCTCTATTTGCTTCGATCAAAGCCTCCGCATCCGTACACACACATATATTTGTATCGGGATCGATCTTTGAATTATCAAGTACGCTTTTTTCATATTCATATTCATTGACTCATTTTTCTTCCTTTGATAAGAACAACTGTTCGAATTTAATCCGTTCGTTTGATAGCCTATCGAATTTCAATATTATGTTTTAGATCTACTAGTACAGCAAAATTTGTTTTTCGTCAATGACAAGTAACGGTGAATACGAAAATGAACCTCAGCCGCGTTTATGTCATCTTCGACGATGGCCGAATTTTGTTGGTTATGGATTCAATTTGCATTGTGAAAAGTCGAAGCCAGGTCAGTACATTGGCAAAGTCGATCCGAACTCTCCAGCTGAATCGGCTGGCTTGAAGGAATATGACCGGATTGTTGAAGTGAACTTTGTTCCAATCGGAAATGAAAATCATAAACAAGTTGTGGCAAGAATCAAAGAAGGTGTTTCAAGAAATGGTACGAAATATCCAGAAGAAGTTATTCTACTTGTACTCGATCCTGATGCTGATGCTTATTACAAAAACAAATCTATCATTGTTCGAAGTTCTGATTCCAATGTTCTGAAATATGAAACCGAGATTCGCGATGGAAAAGGTTTGATTTGATCATGAAAATGAAATCTCGTTTGCAACTTTATCTTTCAGAAAACGGCAATCATTCACCTCAAACCTCTGAGCGAAGTATTGGAAAGATCGATTCACCTGTTATTCATGAGATACCAATACGAACAACAACTGAACACACTCGTGAATATAAACATGTTACTGATTTTACCGGTCCAACTGTTACACATACAACAAAAGTATGCATCGTTTGATAATTTCGTTTTTTTTTTCTTCAAATAGACATGCCGTTGATAAGTATTTGCAGAAAATGTCAAAATTTCTTGACATTAGATATATTATTTGCCTTCACCTTGATGGACTTTTAATTTTCTTTTGTTCTTCTTCCTTCTTTACTTTGATCAAAGTTGAAAAGGTTTATTTTTCGAAGCCCTTCGAGCCTAGAAGGCATCGAAATGTAATTGACTTGACTACTTTGATCAATTGAATTTAGAGATATTGTTTTTGCCGGTCCATTCAAAGAATTGAAGCAAACTTCACCTCTAATATTTACAAATCAGTTCGTCATTAAGATATTTATTCAGTTCTTTTCAACTAACTTTGAAACCATCTGTATTATATTTACTATTCATGACATTGCTAGTTTCTCAGCATATGAAGTTGATTAAGATATGGATATTTGCGCAGGAAGTCCAAAACATGACCTATTTTTGCTAAATTTCAATGAAAACAGCGACTATTTACGTCAAGATCGAATACCTCGAGAATAAAAGAAAAAAAATCAATCGTTCAATTATCTACGAAAAAGTCTAGCGTTATTAACACTACAGAGAATAGAACAAAACGTATTAGAATAAATCAAAGGTGACAGAATAAATGAGTCTCTTTAATCAATCTTCAGGGAAATCATACGAATCAAATCTAATCCATTTGTTTTACCTTCTTCACATTTATTACCTAAATTATGTAATGTAGGTTGATAGTTCGCCGACGATATCTCGTACATCTGATCATGAAAACTATCTTCGATCATCTCCGCCATTAATTGATAAAGAGAAACGGAGAGAATTCACATCTGTTGGTAATTCATCTCCGGCGAAAGATTTGCACCATAGTTCATCTCAATCATCTTCAACCAACGGTTCTGACGTTCCACTTGAATTGAGTACGAAAGGATTTTGATTATTTCAATGGAGATTTAATTTGGACTTGTTGTTTTTTTAGAAATGTCTGCTGCGGAATATCGAGAAAAATTAAAAGCACAACAAGCTCGTAAACGAGACTCACGTCAAGATCAACAAATGTCTATGAAACAAAAACATGATCTAATCGATCGTTTATAGTTGTCTTCGAAAGGTTTCCACGAGAATGAAAACACAACTATCGAAAGAACTGAAATTGTCTTGCCAATATCCAGCATAAATCGTTTTTCGTGTTTTTTTTCTTTCGCTCTCTGTCTCTTTCTCTGTTTTTCTTTCGTTCAAAAGAAGTTTTTCCAGCATAGAGTCCATAACAGTGAACGTAGTTCGAAATTGATTCATTCTTTAAAGAAAGCCTTTCAATTATAAATAAAGAAAAGTTCTTCCAAATAGCACGTGTGTTTTTATTCATTTGTACATTGTGATTATCCTGTTTGATCTTATTCGTCTTTATAATATCTTTCGATGTTCGAAGAAAGAGAGCATCAATAAATGTTTGTCTGTTTTCCTTCAATTTTATTGCCTAATAAATCAATCTTAAATTATTTTTTAAATGAATAGACAAGCGAAAGATCTGAGAGTTCATTCGCAGCAAGAAATGTTTATATATTTATCTGATGATTCGTCGGTAAGCTGTCGGCCGTCCAGGTCGTCGACAGAACATTTTATTCAGAGGTAAAGATCGATTTGTACATTTTGTCGCTAAGTCCGATAGCCAAATACCAATTGTCCAAATTCGATTAGCTTCTTCTTCAGTGAATACACTTGTGAGTAGTTTAGCCATGATGACATTATTTGTTTGTAAACATGGCGTTGTTGTTTTTGAACTCGAATTCAAATCGTAGCCTGTTTGCTGTTCAATTAGTATTCGTACATTGAAAAATCGACTGTCCATACATGAATAATCATACGAACGAGTCTGTTTAATTTGAAAAAAGTCGAAGTATGGTAATAAGTATCGATTGAATTGGTAAACAACTTGTCCAGTGGGTGATATTGTTTCAATAACACAGTTTTCTAAGTCTTTGATCTGAAGAAAATCACAATATTCATCATTGATATGCAGTTCTTCTTCATCCGATGCTTTCCCAATCGACGTTCGAATGTCGAAAACATCGTCATATGTTCGAGGATAACGTGTGTTCGATTTGGACTTGACTACGTCGATATGTGTGAATTTTGTTGAATATCGTAATAAACGTTTGACAGAGAAATATTTCGGATCCTCGATTGAACGTTTCAGTTCCAAAATTAAACGTTTCTTTTGATAACATAAATATAATCTGTAGGTGATCTGTTGGGATGTTGTCTGACGAAAGCCAGTGCATGTTAATTCATGTTCGAACATTTGAATATCATTGATGCCTTTATTTTTGTTGAATGTTATGAGAAAATGTTTTTCATCACGAGCTCGTCGTTCTTCATTTCGAAGATCATCGGCGCTAATGTTTCGACGATACAGACTGTCAGGATACTGGACTTGCTGACGGCGATTTTGATATGTGTAAACAGTGCCCAATCGAATTTCAAGTGGTAAACTATCGATCTGTTCAGTCTGACGGAATTCTTGTGATTTTCGAAGAAAATCTTCCAAAAATAATTTCTTCAAATACGTTGTTTGCTCGTCATTGTCAACATTGTCTTCGGTCACTTCAACTATAGGTACACAATTCATTTGATTCATATGCTCAGGATTAACCATGCCGGAATATGGTACAAGTTGTACTTGCGCTTGACCATCATGAGCTTTTTCTATTAACATTATTGTAATTATTTATCGTAGATCGACAAGAATAATAATATAACCTAATGATGGAAAACGTCCGTTTTTATATATACAAAAAAAAAGCAGAGAAGAAACCAGAACGTGTGTACTTTGGTGACGTACGTCTTTTATCCTCACCCCGGTCTAGTAACCTGTGCGTGGTAGAACAGCGAAAGTCGATATCTACAATCACGCGTCTATCATCAATGAAAGTCAGACAAATAATAATTGTTTCATGCGTCGGATCAGTCAGTGACTCGAGTGTCGGCAAATAAGAAAAAAATGTCATGTTTTGAATTAACCGAATACATTAGGACTAGAAGTTAACGCATTTCCGATCATGACTTATGTTGAAAAGGCACATATGTGCTCAAGATGCTTAATAAGATAAGAAAATGTTTTCCTTGTATGATTTATCATTTCATTTATTTTACCTTGTTGTCTACCTTTTCTCTTGACTTTCGAATGAATACGAAGGATATATAATTGCACTTAATTGAAACATCGATCGAATATCGTCGTACATAGTTTCAGCAAATGTAAATCTGCCGAAATTGTTCCCATACTCGTATGTCTATTAATATCGTTAACAAAGATCAAAGTTTCATTTCAATTCAGTGTACCAGCGTATGCGAAGGTGTCATACGATTTGTTCGGATTACAATATCATGCTGAGTAAGCTAATCACATGACTCATATGCACCATTTTAATCGCATGTGACTTTTTTTTCACAAAAGTCATACTGACTATGATTTCCTACTCCGTAATGGTTGAAATAAATCATTTGTTAGTAATATTTTACTCTGTTGTTTCCCTATGACATAGCCTTCAATTAACAAGATCAAATAGATAAAAAAATCAATACGGAAGATATTGTTTTACAAAGAATAACATACAATGACGTAAGATGCTAGGTCTAATAGTTGATCTAAGCGGGGGAGACGAGTGTCAACGTAAAATTGACACTTTACAGATAGTAGGAGGAACAATAAACATGTCAACAGTGAACGAAAGAAAATAATCTCTAAAAAAAAATCAGGCACCATCATACAGCAATTTAAATATTTGAAATTTACTATATAATAAAGTCATTGATGAAGGCGTCAATATGTGGAGTATTCTCTGAACAGAATATCGCACTATTTTTACATATAATATATAAAATGAATGATACAACATTGAAGTCTTCTGCATGAGAGAAACTACATACTCTTGTATGGGTTCTGTTTTAATAGGTTGGCAATTACTGCCATCTATCCAATTGCGAATTATGTCGACTAGTTCAATCAAGGTTTGTCCATGGAAACTGGTATGAATTATGACGAAAAGGAATTCCTTGAAGCATTTTTCTGTATTCTCTTCCCATGAATAATCCTTGAATTTAATCAAGATGAGTAAGAGCATCGACTTTATTTCGAAAAGATAAATTGAAATGTTCTTCTTTTCTAATTCATCCTGTTCATAGGCCGATCAGACTTGGACGCTATCTTACAAGAATTAATAAATGATACTAGCGGTACGACATTCAATGGCTAAAATGATCAATCAAACTGCCCATTGTTTTATTTGTTTAGATACCAAAACATCGGCTAGCAGCAAGAATAAAAAAGTCAACTATGATCTTGATGACGATGATGACGATTGGGATCGGACTCCTAGGGTATGAGATATTTAACAAAGAAGATTGGTTATTTGTATCTGCATGTGCATATTTAAGGATTCGAAAAAGCCAATTTCAAATACTGCAACAGCACAAGCGAATGATTTTGACGATCTAGGTCTCGACGGCGATGATAGATGGAATCAAACAGCCGGCTCAAATTTTTCCTACATGCCGCCTCTTGGCGGCACGGGCACGTTGGCCAATACATTTTCTGGTGAGTCAAGTTTTAATCATATAGTAGATTTATGATGTTTAATCGAACGAATCTTTTCGTACGATCTTAAATGAGTACCTTTTGAGAATTGTGCGGAATGTTAATTCGTTATATTTATATTTATAAAACTTTATAATAAACACCTCATTCAAGGTCAAGATACAATACAACGTATTGTAAGTCAACCTCGACCAGCAACATCAAGTGGTTCTCGAAAATTTGACGATTTGTTTGGAAGTAAATGTTTAGACTAGTTTTCGCCTTTACTCAACTTTCTTCTCAGGTTCACCGCCGAAATCTACTTTAACAGGGGATACAGATAAAAGCAAAAAAATAGTTCGGTAAGACATTAGATCCTTTGTTATAAAAGCTATCCATAATATTTTTCTATAGCTTTGAGGAGTTTGAACTTGGACGACCATCAACTGCTCCAGCGCCTACGAATACTTTACAGAATCCATCTAGTTCAGGAGTTATATCAGCCATGCGTACTGGCCTCGAACCAAATAAATCATTCAGTACGATGTCTTCCAATAAAACAGCAGCAACGACAACACCAGCTGAATCAAACGATCCGAACGCATGGCTTGGTCTAAAAGATGAATCAACTGAAGATGAACACGATGATTTTCTATCGCGTCCAAAACAAAAGGTAGAATCAGTGGTTACCACTCTCGCAAAAAAGACACTGACAACGCCGATTCAGGCAAAACCACAAGCAATTCCCGAACAACCAAAAAAATGGAATATAGAAGATTTTCTCGACAATGATAAAGAACAATTGAAACAACCAATTATTGTTCCGCCAGTAACATCTACAAAAACATCTCCAAGCTCCTGGCTCCAAGATCTAACAACAACTGATAAACGTTCGACTTCATTGAATACACCGAAAACTACATCGCTCACAGAAGTTCAACCAGCTAAATCAACCGCTCAGAAGTTGTTCGATTCAGACAATGACCTCAGTAATTCTTTTGTATCATTATCGACGACGACGTTGGCTAGATCAAATTGCTTTTTTTTCTTCAGAAAATGTTACTTTTAGAGACACTGAGAAAGAATCACTTTTTACGAATGATCCATCGGTTTCAGCTGCAACTCGATCGAATCAATCAACAGTAAATGTGAGTAGCACGATGAAAGTGGACAATTCTCTGTCAATATCATATTCAATTGCAGCTCGATGTGAAAAAACTTCAATACGAAAACAATGAACTTCGCATGACATTGGATCATATCAAGCGACAAAACGAAGTCGAGCGAGCGATGCTCGAAGAAGGTTACAAGCATCGCATCGAATATATCGAAAAGAGTTGTGAAAGACGAGAATCACGGTAAGCTTCATTTTCGTGTAGAACAACAGTTTTAGATTTGAATACTGTTTGTGAATTTAGACTAAAAGAAGAAAATGAACATTTACTTCGCCAATTGAATGACCGCACACAACAATTCGAGAATGAAAAATCGACATTAATACTCGATCATCAACGACGTTTAGATGATCTACAGCGAGATCGAACAACTGAATTAGAAAATCTTCGAGCATTACAAAGGTTTGCCATCCTTTTCTTCGATAATATCGCAAATAAATTGATCCTTGGTTTAGACAAACAGTCGATCATCTGCGTAGAGAACATGAACAAACAATTCAACGCTTGAAACAACTTAAACAAGAGGAACTAGCGACCGCTCTGGATGTCACAACTCATACGAGGTAAAACAGAATAGTTGAATTTCAATGACAACAAAGTTCGTCTCTAGAGCGTTTGAATCTGTTGTCGATCATATGGAACAAAATGCGAAAAATATTGACGAACTTCGACTTAAACTTGAGGCAAAACATAGTTCGGTACTATCCGAAAAAGAAGTCGAAGCACGCGCTAAGGAACAACAACTCAAAGGTATAATTACTGCTTGCTAATCTAGTAATGATTATATGACATGTTTTCTTGTTCCTTCGATTAGCTTATGAAGAACGTTTACGCATGCAATCAGTCGATTTCGAACGTGAACGTAAAAATTTACAAGATCTCATTGCTCGACTCGAAGTTCATCTTTCTGAACAAACCAAACTTGTCGAAGAAGTACAAAGACAACGCTCGTTTTTCTCTGTTTATCATTTTTAAATTAAGGAACGATGGAAAGCTCTACAGGCTCAAAAACGTATGGAAGCAGAGAAAGATGCTTTGAGTAGTGAGCAACGTATATTCATGGAAAAGATCGCTCGTGAACGTACGGAAATTCAACGAGGCAAAGATCAATTGCTTGAGGATCAAAAAGTTACTCTTGCAAGTGTTTACGAAAGTCGATCACAATTGGCTGGCGAACGTGCAAAAGTCGAAGCGTTGCAGAAAACATTTCAAGAGCAAAAACATCGCGACATGCTACAGGCTGCTTCGGTACACAATTGATATCTCGTGTTCGATTGTTTTGTATACAAAGTTTTCTTTTAGATCGAAGCTGAAGCTCGTGCTCAACAAAAAGTTGTTTCAGAACAAATGGCACGTTTGGAAAAACGCGAGCAAGAAATCATCAAACGCGAAGAAGCACTGAGTATAGAACGACGCTCGTTAGTTGAACTGAAACAACGTGTCGAGATTGAACAATCGACTATTAAAAATGAACACGAAGATATTAAGCAGAAACTACTCGATATTGAACATGCGAATAATGCGATTCAAAAGGAAAAAGAACGTTTATCTCAATTATATTTCGAGTTGCACGCTTTGGATGGAAAAAATACAGGTCGACTTCAGCAACTACAACAATCGATTCAAACTCTCCGACAACAAGAAGAACATATGAGCGAAGTAACCTATTATCTGAGTCTTCACCCATATCATACCAAACATCCTTTTCTTTCTAGCAATATTCCCGAATGGCTGACGATCGACAGAATCGTACTCATCTCCGTTCAAGTGTTACACTTGGTTCACAATCTCCGATGAAAGATACAGGGTTTTCCAGTAAGCCGACTATCCCAATCGAACTTTTTCATGTTTGCATTGAACACTTTTCTACTTATAGCTATGCAACTCGTTTCAGCAACACCACTTTTAACTACAACGACATCTGCTCAACAATCAATCGAAGAAAGTGCTGTTCTACGATCATTACGTATGAATGCACTCCAGGTACCCTGCGTTGAAACAAATCAGAACTCAGTTAAAAATAAATCGAATTTCTCTGTTTAGGATCAATTATATATTCAAGATGAAATGTCATTTCTCAGTAGTTTACGTGCTGCAAATCCTCTTTTACCACGTACTGGAACAAGTAACAGCAATCTGCATCGACATACGGATTACAATTTACTTAGGACCAATCATTAGTTTGGCAGTGAATATCTTTTCTTATGTATTTATAGATGTTATAGAAAAAGAAAGAAAAAATTGAAATAATGAACTGAAATTACACTTCTTTGTACTGTATTTTTATTCTCAAATTACTTTGCGTTTTCTATTATAAGAATGTTTGATCAAAACCAGTGTTGAATGGTAGACAATGTAACATAAATAAGAATAGAAACAAATTAAAATGATTGAAAAATGACAAAGCATCTGTCTGTTTCGCATAAAACATCTTGCTCGAGGACATCCGACCGAATACGACATGAACAATCTCTTATATAAAGCAAAGACTAGTCGGCAAGCATTCAACATTTCACTCGAGATTTTTTTATTTAGAGCACGATGACTAAAGCACCTTTTTGTTTTATGTAACAGTGTCTTATCTTTGACACAATGCGGTTTTCTCTTCAGTTCTTCTCGAATATCTCGAAATTCCGACAAATATTAT